TCTATCTATCTATCTATCTATCTATCTATCTATCTATCTATCTATCTATCTACCTACCTACCTACCTACCTACCTATCTATCATCTATCTATCTATCTATCTATCTATCTATCTATCTATCGTCTGTCTGTCATCTATCTATCTGTCTGTCTGTCTGTCATCTGTCTGTCTGTCGGTCACTTTGTCTATCTAACTCTAAAACTCTCCTGCTTGTCTGATTGTAACCTTTAATTACAAAAAACATCATAAGATAATATTTTTCGAATCAATATACATCAAATGTGTTAACTTAAAGAGTGTATCTAAAATCCAGGACCCACGACTCCCGTGGAATTCAAATTTGGCAAATTTGTGACTATCTCAGTATTGCCATAGTGCTGCGCTGCTCTAGCCAGCTGAACTCATGTGATCGCAATTTCCTGCACTCCTTGCCAGCTTCCCACAAGGAAGGGAATGGGAAGCTGGCAGAATATCAGAAGACCCTCCCTTTCCTGCTGATTCTTTGCCCACCCGTGGTCATTCTGTTTCTCTGTTTAGGTAAGAAAATATCTCTGAAATATTGACCCAACAAGTCACGAGTTGTCTAGTATAAAATATATTTGTCTGGTAGAATTGTAAAAATCCACTAAAGGTTTTCCTTTAAATGGTCACCAGGCAAATGATTAAGCATCTGAGCAGCCAGGATCTTTAAACTACTTAGGAAATCTGAAATATCTGTCCTAAAGAAAGACGCTGTCCTATTACTGCTTATTAAAGTGGATCATTCTAATTAAACCTAACAAAGAATCTGTACATTATCTGCAAACATTTTCTGAAGGGAAACACAACCCATTGTTGGTCAACACAGCCATTCTGAATAGGAAAAGATGATTAAATGATATTAAGGGATTATACTAATCATTCACAAAGTAAATCTGCATTATGCATAATCATTTAAATGTGTCCACTAGTCTCCTTCCTCAGGGTCTGCTCCTTATCAAATTCTTGAATTGTTCTCTAGGCAATGATCAGATAATTGATGTCTGGAAAGAAGATTCCATTTTTTTGGCTGATGTCTTGCAATGGGATTCTTCAGCCCTTTTTCTTTGTTATTTACAGGCATAGAGAGGCCAGGCAGCTGGTTGCCATGGCATCCAGTCTTTGTAGCATTTGTAGAAGTGGGAGGGGAGTTTATAGAAAATGCAGTCTAAAATGAGCTGATCTGATATGAAAAGCATCACTGCCATTCTTGTAAGGTGACTTATTTTGCCACCTGTGTTCTAGGATTCTATCATCCGCAAGGGCTGATGAAGGGACACTGTTCTGGATGTCATGGCAACAGCCGACTGTAGACGGGAAGGCAAGATGGGGGGTGGGGGAAGGAGAGAGAGAGAGAGAGAGAGAGAGAGAGAGAGAGAGAGAGAGAGAGAGAGAGAGAGAGAGAGAGAGAGAGGGAGGGAGGGAGGGATTGCTAACAATGTAACACTAGTGGCACCTGCAGGCCAGGAGGCGGAAATGCAGCCCTACGTACAGCCAGCAACCTCCTCCTGGCTCTGTGGTTTTTCTCCTGCCCTGGGCTCTCCAGCCCTTTAGGGGCCCTATTTAGCAGGCGGGGCCTCCTGCTTGAGCTGGCTTCTACGATCCAGCTTGCTCATAACCTGGGTGATGTCCACATTGGTGGCGGCTTCTCTAGCTTTGGCTTCTTCCTCCAGCTGCCTCAAGAGGATTGGGCTGGGACTGGAGCGCAGGTGCTTGCGAACAAACGGATTGTAAGAGCTGAACAGGAAACAAAACAAAGCCAGAGGGTTACTATTATGATCATTGTGATTATTATTAATTAACATATTTCCATTATCTTTCAATAAAAGTATGGGAAACCGCAAAAGTGCCTTTCATGGATAAAAACAATCTACTACAGATTTTAGTTCACAAAGGGTTACGCCTCTTAATACATTTGTTAGTCAGAAAGAGTATTATCAAGACTCCTATCATAAACTCCTCTTTTTTCTCACAATGTCTACGCTTAGTTTTAAATTAATGGTGAATTGTTTGTCCAACTGAATTCAGCGTATGCCTCACTATCTTGATGCAACCCAGTCTAAAATTAAAACAACATGGAAAGAGCAATTAAACTCAGTTTGTAGAAAGTGGTTTTCATGAAAACATGGCCAGAATATCCAGAATTTGTGTGGGTTTGTGTAAAGCCCTAAACAGATGCACAAATTTTGGGCTTCATCCAAAAATGTTGGAATTGAATCAGAATGTGAGCTTCATTACTTTTCCACCTATCTAAATATCTTACTCCAATATTTTATGGAAAGTTAAGGCGTGCTCTAAAATAGAAATGAGAAAGAAAATGAGCAAAACTCTTTTGTGTAAACAAAAATATTATTTCTTTAATTCTGATGCAGATCTATAGTTGATCCCTTTTGCTGTTCACTGTAAATATTTATTGCGATAAATAAACCTGCCATAAGGATTATATAGATAAATATTCCAGAAAGATGCTAACCAAATAGTATTCTATGAGCTCAGTATTCTGCAAAACTTCTTCAACTTCTTCTTCTTCTTCTTCTTCTTCTTCTTCTTCTTTTCTTCTTCTTCTTCTTCTTCTTCTTCTTCTTCTTCTTCTTCTTCTT